TCAAATATAAGATTACAACTCAATATTTAACTTCTTATTTGAGAGGCTTTCACTTTTACTTTAATTTTATTCCTAAGGAAAAAAATAGTACGTGTAACTTTACTCTCTAATTGTAAGATATTTGCACGTTCTGAATTCCTTGCTTTTAAGGTATAATTTTTATATTCATGTGTATCAATTTCCATTTTCTGTCAAAGGAATGTAAATATTTTTTCACTTCCGTATTTGGGTGCAGTTTTCATTCCGTTGTTGAAAGCAAAAATGCATTTTGAAATTCTTATAGGGAAATGAGCTTTGTCATTCAGTATTGAATACAATGTGAACATACATGGAATATATTTTCAAAGTTATATTTCATTCGTTTTTTAAGAGGAAAACACTTCTAATTTTTAAAGCGAGAATAAAATATATATTCCATAATTTCACAATCATTTCATGTTTTCATTTTATAGTATGCTTAAAAAGAAGCGGGTCTCAAGATATGTATTAATTTCTATGATTTTTAAAAGAAATATCATTTTTATGAGTAAAAATGTTTTCCAGAGTACAAATAAAGTTATTTAACATAGCCTTATGCAGTTCAGTAATCTACAGATATTATATATAGCTTGACAAAATGTACTGAAATTTTGCTTATTCCGTAAGTAATGGTTAAGAAATTTGGTGATCAATATAGAACATTCTGCCATATTTTCCATACAACCCTGGACTGTGAAAAATTAAACATTTAAATGAACTATACGTGTATGTTTTTTTTAGTTTGATATTTTGAAGATATGTAACTCGCCTGGAAGTCTACCACTTTAATTGAATTTTGCAGTATATTCTTATCCTTAATAACATTTCATTTCTTTTAGCGGATACATGTATTCTCATTTTTATTTTCACAATGATTATTTCATGTCCAAAATATTCAGAGAACCGTTTACATGTACTATCAGTTTGAAGGAATGCTTGAACTATATCTGAAATGTGTTATACAGAATAAAAAGATATATATAAAACAAACACAATTTATCATAAAGAATAAACAAATTATCTATCAAATTTATTAAGAATAAACAAATTATCTATCAAATTTATAATGAATAAACAAATTATGTACAAATAGTACATTCATCATGGAGATGTGTATTTGTGCATGTATTAAAGAGAACTATTATTGAAAACAAGTTGGTTACTATCCCTCTTTTTTGAGTTATCTGCCCCTGAACATAAGTTGTTTACTCAAAACTGTTGCAAGCAAAACCTCTTTTAGTGAAAGATTTGCTGACATTTCAATCCCATAATTCTTAATACGAAATAATAGCAAATTTCGTTCAGTTAATACTCTTTTTTTATTGGTATGTTAATTTTTTGAAGCGCTTCAAAATATCTGTTGGTTAGTATTATTTTTAATTTTGCATAAAGAAAAAAGAAGTAAAAATTATTGAAGATGTCTTTGAAAAGTTTAGAAAATCTATGACCATTTTAATTTCCCTGCAACGTTTGATAATAATTTCTACATTTCATGTTCATATTTTGTATTTCTTAAACTGTAAACATTATCTAGTAACACCCTGAGCATATAATTGGTATGATAAAGAAATAAATATTCATTAAGATTAAAACATGAATATTCATTAAAAAATTAAAATTATTCACTTTTAATCATCTTTATAATTTACAGCAAAATTGATATCAACTTGAACCTGTATTTCTCATTTAATATTTATAGATATAATTATGATATATTGATGTAATTTATAGTTATCCAATTAGTTTAAACATGCATTTTTTCCATAACATCTGTATTATAAAGTTAAAATGTGACACGTAATATGTGAATCAATAATTATGTACATTAAATATGTAGGAAAATAGTGATATGCATTGAAATAAATTAAATCTATTTAATAAATGTGCAGCAAACGTGTTTCATTTTGTGATTTTTTAAGATTTATATTTCATTTTTCTAAAATATTTATGCAAACTTTTAATTTGAAAACTTAAGAGAAACGTTAATCAAAAATAATGCACATTTTAGTAATATACGTGTGTTTGTTATTTTAAAGTTTGAGTTAACATTATCAATTATTTAAATTTTCGTTTTAATATGTTTTATTTTAATTAGATATTTTATAAAAACTGCGCGCATGTTTGAATGAAATTATAATATTTTGTTTAATGAATATACTCATTTTAGGCTGCTGGTAGTGCAGTGTAGTGTAGTGTAGTGTAGTGTAGTGTAGTGTAGTGTAGTGTAGTGTAGTGTAGTGCAGTGTAGTGTAGTGTAGTGTAGTGTTGGGCAGTGCAGTGCAGTGTAGTGCAGTGTAGTGTAGTGTTGGGCAGTGCAGTGTAGTGTAGTGCAGTGTAGTGTTGGGCAGTGCAGTGCAGTGTAGTGTAGTGTAGTGCAGTGTAGTGTTGGGCAGTGTAGTGCAGTGTAGTGCAGTGCAGTGCAGTGTAGTGCAGTATAGTGCAGTGTAGTGCAGTGCAGTGTGTTATTATGTATTGTATGTTGTGTATTGTATTGTTTATTGTATATATTTATATTGTATTTTATTTTCTTGTATGTTGTAAATTGTATTGTAAATTGTATTGTATATTGCATTGTATCATATTATATTTATTAAATTGTATATTGCATCGAAAATTGTATTGTATACTGTATTGTATTGTGTTGTATTGTATTGTATTACATTGTGTATTGTATTGTATTGTCACATGTACAATAGTAACATAAATATATTAAACAGACAGGCAAATGTTTTAGATAATCTCTATAGTTTTTTACACTTAACATAAACTTACATATTTAGATTATATGTATAAATATGACAACAAAGATACGAAATTTATTCCAAATTCAAAAATAATAACACTATATATTCTTAGTATATTTAGAATAGTTTAGTTTAAATATATTCGAGCCGTGTCACGACAAAACCAACATAGTACGTTTGCGCCAAGCATGGATTCAGACCAGCCTGCGCATCCGCGCAGTCTGATCAGGATCCATGCTGTTCGCTTACAAACCCTATTACAAGTAGAGAAACTGATAGCGAACAACATGGATCCTGATCAGACTGCGCGGATGCGCAGGCTGGTCTGGATCCATGCTGGTCGCAAACCCACTATGTTGGTTTTGTCGTGACGCGGCTCATTTGTTTAAGCTAGCTTGCAAAACAAGTTCTTGCAATATTACATCATATCAATCACTTTCGAGTCGGTGTACTAGAAGTAACTGGTACTGGTGTTACATGCGAAAATATGCCCGTTGCCCGAGTACGGCTCGAAACAATGATCCCTGGGTTGTGAGATAGACGCCGTAACCACTAGGCCACCACTCCACTGTTTAGGGTGTTCTTTTATTTAGAACAACTAAGATGGAAAGCAATAATGATATAATTTTAGTTTTTACGTGCAATTTATGATGAATTTCCAATTTTGAATATGTTTTGCTCTTTCTTATTCGAGCTTTTCTTTTATATTTTTACACAGCTTAATCGATACAAAAAAATTGGTAAATAAAAATAAAAGTAAATAAGTAAAAATAACGCGTATAAAACAATAAAATTTATTTCTTGTTTTATCAATTTATTTCTTGTTTTATCATTACGGGAAAAAGAAACCACTATTAAATCAAAAATGAAGTATGAAAGGTGATTTAAAAGCAAATGTATTAAAATGACAAGTGTATATTTCTATATAGATGAAACTAAAGCCGACTACTTTATGTGGAATAATGTATTTGATATTAGGTGTAAAGAATGATATAAATTACATCAAATCAAAAAGCCAGACTCCTGTTTAGCCCTTTGATTTAGAACTTGTTTTCAAAACAATAAATTCTTTCATGGCCATAAAAATAATTTATAGAACAGTTAAGTCACAATTAGAAATTCGTATTTGATATATTCAATTTCATACCTGATTTATTCACTCATAAATTACATAGCGATTTAAAGATACTATTTTAGCCTTAACTAGGAGTTACAACTTCACGCATGGCTTCGTTGAGAATTCAGTGCACTTTTTGCTTCGTCGTGGAATAAATTAAGATTTCCGATCTAAATTATTCTTTTCATTTTGCTATACCGTTTAATTTTATGACGTTATTATAACTTTCGTGACGCATGCGTCAAACCCTCTATGGTCGGACAATATTTTAGATCTTATTCTTGAAATATTGTTTATGATTTCGTCTAAAATATTTTTGGATGATTTAGTAGTTCGGCTGCCTTTGAAGATTTGGCCGTCTTTGAATATCGCACATTACATCTTTCAGATATTCACTTGCGGAACCTTTAAAGGGTTTCCCATAAATACTTATTTTCAAAGGCGCATTACGTAAATCAGGCATAAATTTGATTGGCTACGATGTATAACATATATTTTCTATAAATTTGATATCTGATTTTTAAAGACCAGTACGGTATTTGCATCACGGATGATCAATAAAATCTATGCACCAATTAGGAAAACAAGTTTCAAATGTTAATATGTAAATACATGTTTATGATTCGCGTAATTTCCTTTCCTTTTATTCCTTTTAGAAATAATATAAACACATGTTTGGGCATTTTTTGACTAAAACCCTGTTTTTACATTAAGTTGCTGCATGGGTAATTATGCAAGCTTGTGCACATTTATTTCGAATATCTAAAATTGTTCCTATTTATTATCTTAAGACGCAAAGATTGCAAGAAGTGGCCTTTTTGTTTGTTTGTATATGCGCGTGCGCGCATGTGTCTGATTGTGCGTTTGTATGTATATTGTTTTTCTTATTCATTGAAAAATCGATTAACATTTATTTTGATATTATCTACTGTTGTTTATGACCTATCGAATGCATCAAATTGTGTTGGCACATATCAATTTTCCAAACCCGCTCGATTCTTAAAAAAAAAGGACAACGCATACAATACGATGGTCTTATTTTGGTAACGGATACCGTATTTTTATTACAAAATCAATTATTGATTCACCTGATTATTGATTTAGTGTCACTTTCTTTTCAGAAAGAATGTTAGCAGAGTAAAAGAAAAAGAAATCCGGATAAATCAAGAAATGAAGCGAGTATAGCATTGTTCAACTCATTACAAAAAAGTAAGGTAGGTTTTGAAAGAGGGGGAATAAACGCATTTATATTTGGTTTGATCTATTTAAACTGGCGAAGAAACCCTTTGATCTACTTGTAAACTATTTAATGCTTTAGGAAACACATTAATTATGTCTAAAGTGAAGTTTTGTGTCCGTTTTAAAAGTTCACGTTGAATTGGATAAAATTTCAGACAATGAGCCTCTATTGACCAAAAATTAAGGATAAAAAGATTCAACCCGATCAAAGGGTTGTCTTTTAGAATAGCTAAAAATTGAATCTTTCCCGGCTTGTGTATAGGAACCTATAGATGTCAATGGATTTGAAATTTACGATTTTTCACGTTTGAATTCTGACAAGAAAATATTAATTTTGGCCAATGATTACCCGGCCATAAACTTGTTAGTTACATGGTTTAGACAGAACTTACGTAAGGTATCTCTGTAAATAGCCGGCCTAAAGCTATAAAGGTATCTTAATGGCCATTAAGACCCACCGCTTGTATAACAGACCTCGCACGTCTGCATTAGGAGAAACATAACCTATTAAGTATAAAGTTTGAATAGATCTTTTTTTGAAAGACAAAGACAGGCTGATGATCGCCTTCCGTTGGTCAAAGTCTTTGCCGGAGGCTGAGAAAATGCTGGTGTAAATGGTTAAAAAGACTTCAGATATTTATATGGCTTTATTTAGACAATTAGACCGAGTATTGAAGTGTATAGGTCCGATTATTTGCTGTCCTTTTTGACAGACAGGGCTTGTAATTTGGGTTCAATTTGCTTCATGGGGGTAGTTATTTATGCACAATTAGGTATCAATTGGGACACCTCGGTGAAATTTATCCTATGAAGGGGTGTGACGAGCATTTTGTCGTAAGGGGGATTAGTAGATCCTAGGGGCTGGGAAAAACGGAAGTAAGATAAAAAGGACAAATTGGGCGAAATTAATGTATTTTGTGTAGATCTGACCGCATACTTTATCTTCTTTGTGGGAGGTTACAGTAATTCTCCGACTTACATTCTTCAGAGTGTTGTCCCTCTCTGCGTTGAAATAGTATCATCGTTTGAAATATCTGGGTGTCCTAACCGAATACTAGTATCCGAAATCATGCATTTAAAATAATTTACAATGTCGTATTATATGACAATTTTGATAATTTTTACTATCATTACTATAAAGTATTCATCATCATCATCAATATTAGCACCATCATCGTCATCATCATCATCGTCATCACCATCATCATCATTACTTGTACTATTATCATCATTAGCATCATCCTTATTTCAATTGTCTTAATAGGAATCACTTTGTCCTGTTTCATCCCGTTCCGTCCAGTCCCGGTATCTTTTGAGCCAGTACAGATATTAATTTGAAATTTAACTTATATATGCAGGGCCACAAGTTGCCAAAGTCATGTTCCTTTTCACAAATTTATATTTATTTAAGTATCTCAGAGAGAAGTGGTGATACTAAACTGAAACTAAAAATATGAGTAGAGGGTCACCATCAAGTTCGGCAGTTGTTATTTCCCTTTTAATCTTTAAAATGTCTTTAAATTTACATTTACTAGAATATATCTGAAACAAGAACAGATATTCTCTTGAACCTATATATATGAACATATGAACATATAATTATGTATGAATTGCCAAAATTAAGTTTTGCAACTGTTAATTGTACTTTTACATAATTATGTCCCTTTTTGCCATTTTTTAGACAATTTTCAGGTGTGTTGTTTCAAACTTGAGTTGACAATTTGAAATCTAATGATTATATTACCTGTACAATGTTCTCAGCCCCTAAAATAGCCCCTTTGTTGTCCTAAGCTTCATAAGGGTCCACCCGCCCTTTTAGGCACCCCGTTAGTTTTCCATTTTTGTATATCATGGACACTGGAAGGGTATGAATTGCATTTTTGGTGGGATGGGGGCGGGGTTGTGGCTTAAGAGTGGGGGATGGTGGTTGTTGCGTTTTCGATACAAGTGTGATAATCAACCATAATTTATCATTTCCTATCATTAATCAAACTTAGAGATTATTCACCTCTCTCAAATGTTGATGTGTTCTATTTTAAATCATACATATTTAAATTCGGTTAATATATCAACCAGTTTTTAATTGACGTTTTTCTATATAATATATTAGACATTCTTGTTTTACTTATCGAACATTAGCCTTCTCTTCGAACGTAAACAGTATTGTACGCGTTACCTCCCTTAGACTGATAAAAAACAATAATGGCCGATCTGACAAGTTTGCGATATTTAAAATGATTTACATGAGCAGACGACACATTTGGTTATTCAATGTGACTTTCATGCATCATCATTGAAATTCTTCACGAAACTAGTTGGTTGACCGCAACATATTTGTGCTTGTATGTATGCATTGTTTAAATACTATGAAAATCATTGCAAACGTCAGCAATTATAATGTTTAAGAAAGGAATACCATTTACGGCATTTTCATTTCCAAAATATTGAAAGAGCTTAAAATATCTGTATTCTTTTTATTTGCAATTAAAGTATTGTAACATAAAATGTTCTGTCATAAAAACTGAAATATATAACATTCATCACCATCGCTGTCATTAATATCATCATCAGCATCATCATCATCATCATCATCATCATCATCATCATCATCATCATCATCATCATCATCATCATCATCATCATCATCATCATCATTATCATTATCATCATCATCATCATCATCAATATCGTCATCATCATCATCATCAATATCATCATCATCGCCATCATCATGAACAGTAGCACCAGCATCGCCATTATCACCATCATCACAATCAGTCCTCAACAATATCATTAACATTATCTCTGTAAGTGTCAACGAAATTGATATCAAGGAAAATATGTTATTATAAAAAAAAACATAGAAAAAGAAAGAAGCGTCGAACAGGGTTTCTGTGCTGGATTGCCTAAATTGATAAATTACCAAACCTCTAGGCCGTTACATTAACATGACCCTTTGACAGTCTCCATAGCATTAGAAATATTCAAGATGGCGGAGAAGGCCCCGCAGAAATGCCGTAAACAACTCGAGGTTGTCTCCAGTAGCTATTTGAATCCGTGTTTGAACGTTCCCAGATACTGGAGCACAGCTGCTTGGTATGATTAGGTTAGAAATAGGATAAAGGACATAAATCTAGTTTTCTTAAGTTTAGGCCAAACATTTGCAACTTGTTCGTGGCTTTTGCTCCCATCTGTTATCAACATGTCTTTGCATGTTAAAGTTATTCGTCATTTCTTTCACTGGCAATGCCTGTAGACGGTTTTCTTTTTAAGAAAATGATAAGTAATAAGATATTGGTGTACAGTATACTATAGTTCAAAAGTTCATAATAGCTGTAGTATGCTGTTGTTGTTTTGTTTAGGACAATGAGTTACAAAACTGGTATACGCATCCATATGTATGTTAGTTTTTTGACATCATGCACATACTTTAGTCATCGTATTCACCGCCCATAATCAAAAACGAGGTCATATATGACGTGCCTGTCAGTTAACTTGCATGGTTTATTAGAAAATAAAACATGGCTGAATATCGTTGACGATATTTTGTCTTTGCTCAGACAGTATAAAATAAAAACATACACTGTAGTAGATTTAGGTCCTGATAAAGGGAACCAAATATTACATTTTTGGCCTTATTCGCCTTCTGGCTGCAGGGTGTGAAAATTCCTACGCACAAGTACCTAGAAAAAACGCAGCTATTCCAACATATGGTACGCTTTAAACATTTCTCCAATCTGATTGAAGTCTAGGTATTGTGATGATTAGAGGGAATTTAAATTGGGCCGTAAATCAATGTACCCTAGGAATTAAAATGAAAACATGACTTTCAAAAATAATCGAAACTGTTGGAGTTGGCTTTAATGGCTTCCGTTTTATTGCAGTTAAAGGTCCCTAAATAATTTGAGAACAGATTAATCATTTTACTTTTAAACTTGAAAACATATTTAGATTTAATTTCATTTTTTTATATATATAATTAAAACAATTTCGGTTGTTATGCTAAAGTAACAACATTTTCGAAATAGATATCTATTTTTTATCAATACCTCATAAATTTCATTTTTTGTTTTAGAAAATGATCTTCTTCATATAAATAAGACAAAAACAAGTCTTAAATTTCAAAATAAATGGAAACAAATAATCAATTCTTATTATTTCATTATTTATTATAGCATAAATATTAACTTGAAACGCAGGCGTGATGGAAGGTTTTTATTTCTAATAACAAAGTTTTTAATATATTGTTTAACTTTAAATTTTAACATATGAAAACAAAACAAACAGCAACTTGTGTTTTCCGCTGCGGTTTCTGTTTTATTATTTATTTCTGTTACATATTATAAACTAAAACAAAATTTTAAAAATAAGAAAATCTTCAACATGTAAAGTAGAATCAATTTACACTCAGAAAATATGTGAATATGTGAATATTTGTGACAAAAAGTACATGAAAATATCTTGTTAAAAAATATGTGATAAGCAGATAAAGTTAATTAAATGTATTTACAAAATATAACACAGAAGCCGAATAATACTTTTTGATGTAAGAAAACATAATTGAACAAATTTTAAAAAGGAATGCATAAAAAAGCAAATTCATTAGTGAAAAAATAAATAGAAAATGAAATAATAAATAATATTTTTTTTTGATAAACATGTACTCGTATACCTTGGTATTCTAATTGAAATGATATCAATTTAAGTACAAAATACATCAGCAATTTTTATGAGCAGGGCTGATATGTTTGTGTTATTTTAACATATTTTTATATAATATTGATTACTTTTTATTACAGGTCTTGTTACAAATTTGGATATAACTTCGATATTTTATATACATTTTTATTACTTTTTATTGCATTTTTGTTATTAGAGTACCCAAAAATCTTATTTTTATTAGCACTTAAGTTTTATCTAATGTAAAAAAATGTTCTTATTACATTGGGACTGATAAAGATTTGGGGAATGCACTTAATAACTTAATTTACTAATAACAAATTAACGCATACGCCAAATTACTGACTAACGTCAGATTAACGATTCAGAAATGATATTTATTAAAGTCAATAAGTTAACAGTTGATTATCTTAAGTACAGAAATAAAAGACAAATATGTGTTTTCTTTTCATTGCAAAAATGGATTCAATGAAACAAATTAAATTAAATATTAAAAGAAATACTTAGCCCTAATTATGAACGGAACGCAACTTGTTGACTGAATTATAATTATGAATATTTCAAGGAGGAAAATGAATTTATCGATTTTTTAGTACTTTGGTCTTTCATTAAGCTTTCAACAAGTCGATAGTTAAACAAAATATTCTAATATTTAGAAATTTGATCTTTTTAAAAGTTATTTCTTCCTTTTCTATATGCCCTTACATTATGTATCAAATAATTCCTGGCCACGTAATCAATTTATGGCAAATTGTTATAACACTTAATAATTCTTTAAATGAATATGATATTATACATGTACATATGTGCATATACACCTAGTGCATGAAAAAACAATTTGACAATATATATATTACACAGTCAATCTAAATAAATAAGATCATGTACAGTAAAAATGTATATATTTAAAGAAAATATTTATTTTGCAGCAAATAAAACAAGATCCATAAGCTTTACGTCGTTAGAACATTCACAGTGACTTATTTAACATAACATGGAATGATGAGAAATATTGAAAATACATTCTACCTTATTTATAGTAAAGATACTAAATGTAACACAGATAAACCCTTTTTTACATTTTCCTGGATTTCAGGTTCTTTTTCAAGCATTTTTTCTCTATAAAAACAGTGGAAATAGTGCTAAACTCAAGGCTTCTTTTAGTTTTGATATTTGCCTGAATTTCAGGTATCAATGTCATTCCACAGGGAGCATTTTCTCTTTAAACAAATGAAAATTGTGCTGGTTTCAGAGCTTTCCGGTTTGTTTTTACTTTTTTGTTTATTTTATTTTTAGAGGCACATTAGAAATTTTGTACTTCTTTGGAAATGGCAAATATGAATTTTATAACTTTTACAGAATGATTTAGAGCATGTAAGATGCGTATAGCCTGAAGAAATTAGAGATAAATGTGAAATTATTTGTCATTAATGTAGCAAAATGCAAACAAAGTAGTATTTTCGCTTCCATATAAAATACTAAATCACTATTACTGTACTAATAACCAAATTGCAACTGATGAAAAAAGATGATTCAGATAATCGGCCAATGAGTAATGAGATTTTTGGAATCTATAAAAGAACACCAAAATTAAAAGCTTTTGCGGAAAAAGAATAGAAGCATTTCTGACGTATAATGGGCCTTTAAACTTTTCTAACTTTTACCAATTAAGTAAAGAAGAAAACAACTGATTCAAAAGCATTTAAGATACTATATATAAGCAGTTAATTAGAGTAAACAGATTCTGTTAATAATTGACTACTTCTTTGAAACAAAAATAGATTATACATGTACCCTATTGTAATGTCATTCAAACAGTTTTAATCAATGAATCTGCTTTTCAAATATATGTTAAGGTAATCTCATATCAAATACTTTTTTGTTTTAGAACTATTTTTAAATCTGTATCTAATATCGATCGTAAGTTTAGACATTGAAAATGTTGTAGGAATTAATGTGTGTGATAACGAAAAGCTCCGCCATACTTCCCCCCCGGAAATGACGTCATAATTGTCGTAATAATGTCAAACCCTACTGTTGGAATGTCATTTTCATGCATATATAGAGTAAGCACTAAAATATAAAATTCATCAATGTAGTTAATTATCTTTCCACCGGAGTAAGCAGGTACAATTTTTATATGAAAACTCTTTAGACATGACAGTAAGTTTGATATGGGGAAATAAAATTTGCATTTAAATCTCATCCAACGCCTTGTATGCTGTATGTCCCACTCCTAGGAAGTTTGCAAAACCCATCGACCGCACAAAATTCCCATTATTTCCCACTGCAAATGTATTTTTTCACTCGTTACCCTACATCGAAACCGCCGCTTAAAACATATGTATTCCCCTTTGAAATAATGTGTTTTTAAATCAACGTGAAAATCTTAATTGCGAATTTTTGCCTTTGAAACACACGGCAGTTTTAAGTTAGCACAGGTGGCCAGGGTTGGTATGAGATTGAATCTTCGACTTACGGTTCACAGTCAAGATTGTTCGCGATTCCTTGTTAATAATTTACATTTATCATCAACAATGTCCTTATAAATCGCCATGTTAATATATCCCAGAGGTTGATAAATAGATTTCTAGTTGTTGAAATATTGAAATATAAAAAACACATTTGTCTTGCTCATTTTTGATTTTTTTCTGGGTCATGCGGTTCAATTTTTAAGATGGAAAATCAAATTCACATGATGAAATGAATGTGTCGGAATGCTGTAAGTTAAAACATATTTTTTGCAAGGTTTAGGCTCATGACTTAAGTTTTGTTGGATGGGGAGGGGGGGGGGTCCTGCACATCATAAAGTAATAGAATAATGTTTGACATTTGGCATATAAATTAAATTTGAATTCTAATAAAAAGACTCGCCAAAAAAGTAAGAATCAATATTATATAGCTGCATATGTGAGTTTGTTATTTGTTAATGATTTTAAAAAAAAATGAATCGCCAAAAATATTTGAAATGCCAAAAAACGTCAGAACTTTTTAACATACATAGACAGAAAAGTCATTAAAAAAAAGTTGATTAAGACAAATACACTTTATATTACACAAGCTTTGTCTAGTGTCTTTTAAATTAATGATTAATAATTGATGTTGGTTTCAGTATGTTGTTGTTGATGTTGGTTTTGCTTTTGTTCATTAATTATTTGTTCCGTTATTCCGGGATAAATATATCTGTTCACTAATTTAACTGAGAGATGTATTTCTGTGTTACTCGGAAAGGATAAAAAGTACTGTCTTTACAAAAGTTCTACTTTTTGCAAATAAAAATATCACCATGGCAAAAATAATAAAAAAATGATTTTTCGATGTCCTTGAACTAAAGCATTCTGAGTTTATTCTAGACAATTTGTTTTTTACTAATTCAAAATGCTAATGAAAGAATAAAAATAATGAACTTTCTTGCTTATATTCCGGTTTAAACCTGTATATATTCTTAACATAGGCGGTTACGCGTTAAATTTGCACGTAATAAAAATTGCTAATAAAAACAAAAGTTTGCTTTCGTCAAACTTGGATTTTTGGTGTTCTGTAATTTTTATTAATTATCTAAAATTATGCAACAAGCCTTGTTTAATTGTAAGATGATATTTTTGTTGCTCGTCAGTTGTTGTTTCGTGCATGCATGATATAAATCATTTACGTTATTAAGAATATTAACATTTCTTTTTATCTTGTTAACTTTTGACTAGTTTTTATAATACGTTTTATTTAAGTTGTGATATTCTACTGTGCACCGTTTGACTGTAAAATTATTATTATTATTATTATTATTATTATTTGGATAAAAGTGTAAATAATCTATAACATTTTTAAACTCTAACAAATGGCAGAATAGAATAAAATATTATTATGTTTTAATGCTTAAGAATAAATGTATATCAAATTTATTGCACCTAACCATTAATACAACAATAAATGTTATAAATAAATATCTGTAAAAAATTGAGACATCCAGCAAACGTTCAAATTACGAAAGTCTATCTTAATAGGTATTATATTAATTAAAATATAAAAAATTATCTGTAAAAAATTGAGACACCCAGCAAACGTTCAAATTACGAAAGTCTATCTTAATATTTTTCACATCATTCATTTTTAGAAATTTTCTTCCATTTCATGCGCCGATTTTGGAACCATATCTTAATTTGCCGCTCTGTAAGACAAAGAGCGTGCGCAATTTCCACCCGACGACGCCTGGTCAAGTACCTATTGTAATGGAATTCCTTTTCCAGTTCTAGGGTTTGAAACCGACTATAAGTTTGTCTCCCACGGCGGCGGCTCGCCTCTGGAAAAAAGATCGAAAATATATTATAATAAATACAAATATTGCAAATATTTATTTAGCATTTTCTGTAGTCAATTTTATGGTTTTAAGAAATATTTTTATTGAAAAATTGTCATTCAGATGCGATGAAATAATAAGGGAAAATTTAAATAGTTCGACAATGATATATCATATGATAATGTTATTTGATACGATGATAATAACATAAATTATCACCTGAAAAATGATAAATAATGATAATAACTTATTAAAGCAACACTGATAATAATGATGTTGATAAATAGAATGTTTACATGTAGAATGAAATTAATGTATACTATTTTTAAATAGAAAAGTAAAATGAAAAGGCTTATGGTCCGGGAGAAATCAAATACAGTTTATTGTCCGATTCTTTGCTAGTTTTAGCAAAACACAAATAGATAATGTAAAGTAACATATCGAATTAGATAACGAATCAAGATCAATACTTTCGGACGGGCTATAAGTCTGGCAGAAACATACAATTTATCGAAGTAAAATTCGGCATTTGACGTTAAGAATGACACAATAAAACATAACATACGGAAAGTTACACGAACAAAAATCAGTGCTCGCGGAAAGTGATAATCAAAACAATTTTCTATTTCTCTAAAAATAAGCACAAATAAAAAAGAAGGAGATCAGTAACTTTAATCCGATGTTATAACGTCCACAGTTTGAATTCGATTTGAATCTCCACCCAGTATATTTAAACCTATTCCGAAACTAGAAGATATAAAATTCCGGTACACACAAATAATATTTCGCTGTTAGAAAAAGATTTTAATTCTTGCAGTAACATCTTAACACATTAACGCTTTCCAAACTTAGTGAAACAAAGCACACAACTAAACTAAGCTTCTTCGCCAGATATCAAGAGTTTTATACGATCATTTCTAAACATTAATTTGAAATATTGGCTCATAAAAAAATATCCCCGAAGCCTTGTCCACTATTACGGCAATAGCGTTGTGTTTTATTAGCGATGTAACCGTAAAATTCATTTCTCGACAACTTGTGGGGTTTAATGTTCCTTTATTGCTGTATTTATAATAGATTAAGTATCTACTTTTCAGTTTTGATTTCTGTTCTTGGTCCTCTATTGGTTAAGTTTTCATCGCCGTATCATTAAAGTTGGTAATTTACAAATAAATGTTTTCTTTTAGTACAATTTTGACAAGAATAATGGCTCGTTTTAACCACGCGCGAATAACTTTAAACAAACGATGTCGACACGTTGTGCATAAATATATTATGCATTTGAGAATGTCAAGGTATCTTTAAGTTACAAAACCTGATTTGTTTTTTTAAATGAAAACATTCTTACAACATTTAGAATACGCTTAGAAATTTACACACAGCGGATGCGCAAATCATTTCATATGATGTCGGGGATTCAAAATCGCAGTTGTTGTTTATATTTTTCTAGTAAATCATTTTTTATAGCTGGTGCTAAATAAAAATTTATTTGTACAACTACCAAGTTTACATCGTAAGTGATTAGATTAATTTGTTTTCAGTTCTTTTATCATCAGCAATGATAAAAAGATCATCATTTTCATTAACTTAATTAAAGCAGACGACATAGACTTTTATTATAACAAATGAGCTTGGTGGTCAATAAATACACATTTTCAGAACACGGTATTATACAATTTATTAGCAATAACGAAAATTGTACACAAATATGCACTACTTTTTTCCCCCGACATGCAGTAATAGATAACGTGACTGGATCAATATTTAGCTCCGCCCTCTCTCGTAAATCATTACGCCTGGAGACGGAGACACATGCGCAGTCGTGACATTGATGGATAGGTTTATACTATTTACACGGTGAACGTTTTCGCCCTTCGATACGCGCTCTATCTACCAATTGTATTTAGAAAACGCATTTATTTGAGTTCGCATGTTTACATCAAGGAATGTGAGCGTCTAAAGTCGAGCAGAATATTTTCATGTTTTTGTTGTCGCAAAAATGTGTAGTTTATCCACTAACATTTAAGTGTGTATGAATTATCCGTAACTCAACATTATTAAAGAAAATAATTATCTACATTTTTCATTTCCGTTTTAAATATAACTTTTCGTTAAAACAGTTAAAAAGTCGTTATCCCATGCTTGTAATTCGAACGGTATGCCGTTTTATACCGGCATATTTCTTCGAGAATAATTTAATTCGCAGTAAATCTCGCTTCGATGTGTTAATAATTATGATGTTTATATATGTTTTAATGAAAGTAATAATTATAATATCTATACCACTATAATAGGATTTCATCCAAGGATAAAATGGAATGGATTCCGAACTTTCGCTTTCCTCGTCTTCAGAAACGTCTGCTTCGAAACCCGAAACGGGTTCGCCCTGCTCACCACCTGTACCCGTAAAGTTAATTTTTGGCGACCTCCTTTCGCCGTTGATGGAATAATGATTTTCCGGAGGTATTTGATTCACCTTTAGAATATCCAAAAATCGTTCGGGTGCAAATATATTTTCTTGGAAGTTATTTCCAAGTTGTTTCCGATAACGCTCCCTCTCTGGGTAAAATGTTTCTGGCATTAATATAAGGAAGTTGTCTGACTGAACAGTATAATTACTCGTGGACAAATTTCGTACGTCTATTTTCGGCTGAGAAAAAGTTTGACACTGTTCTTCCATTTTATGGCGACTGCGATCCGCCATTGGTAAATGCCTAACTTTATCAGCATGGCTGTTCATTTGAACGCTTGAAGCGGGCGCATTCACCGGAACGGGATGTATACAGTTCGGCGGATTGATGTTCATAATGGCGGACAAAACTAATTCAAACACTCTCGAACGTTGTGAATGGGGCTTCTGGTATATTGAAAAGATCAAAAGTCTTGCGGCTGCCTTTAATAGAGTCGTAAATCCTTCAAAATCAAGCACCTCTTCAGTTTGCCTGAAAAGAAACAGAAAATTTACGCGAGTGTCAGTTTAAACACGATTTCACAATTTAACATATGAATGAAAACTATTTCCAATTGTAAGTAGCCATACTAAAATGCGGACAAAATGACGAAAAGGTCGGTTTAAGACCTCACAAAATGCCTTAATGATTAAATACTTGCTTCCCATTTATAAAATTCCGATATTTTTCTGATTTTGTGTCGTTCTATATTTTACAAAAATGACAAGGGAGGCAAACTCTGAACTTGAAACTGTTCCCCTTGCACAAACACTTTGCATTATTTTCTCAAATAAAGACAAAATCATCTTTAGGTATATGTATGAACTTTAATTGCTGTCCTTGTGTAAAAATTGCATATCTGGTTTGTTCATGTTATATATATAACAATGTTAACTCAATGTTATTGTAAATAAATCAAAAATGGCATAAAAATACAATAAACATACATATAATAGTATCTTTGTACTTTTTAATGGTTTAATTTGAAATAAAATGATTCAATCGATTCCTGTGGGGTTGCATATAAAATTTTAAGATTTTTGAGGCAAATTATATTTTAATTGGATTAGTTTATTTGCGTGAAATTTGTGAAACAGAGTTTGAGAAAGAAACAAGGAAAAAAATTCATTCCGATAATTCGATTAACGTTAGCCTGGGTTCCAGTCTGTCGATTTTTTTATGTGCTTCTGTTCGGCAAATCGACATTTTGATACTATCATAACCAGAGATGTTGTGCGTTTTCTATGACGATCGAGTATGAAATAGAGCGTATGTTATAAATAAGCAAAAAATATCAACGCCTGAATCCCAGGCTAGATTAACGTGTACATGTACATATTATCAGAAACTTGAATATATTCAAAGCTCCGATTCTATGAAATTGAGATATTTATTTCATGATTATCAATGCTCTTAAAAACGTTTTGATACCCAGTGTGCGCTGACTTAGATATTCCCCCCTCTATCAACCTACTCTTGAAGTGTTTCAAAAGTTTATTTTCATTTATCAAGTAAAAAAGATTAAAGAAATATATACATGCACTTGAAACAGTCGTCTGGGAATTTTTAATTTTTCTTTTCAAATAAATCGACAATGATAACGGACATATTTCAATCTGATTGGTTAATAGATGAATGCCCGTAATCCCAAACCCCGTGCCAAAATCCCCATCGTGTGTTAAAAATGATAATGAATCGACAATATCATAAAGTTGCATGCATTTCGGATGTGAATGAAATAGACACTCTGCAAAAATGATAACACAAAGCAATAAGAAAATAGTGAAGACAAGAAAAAAAAGAGTGTAGATTATAGCTTCCAACACAATCGAACTAAAATAAATTTGTATAAACTAATAAAAAGAGTGACTGTTTTGGTTCATATTTTTGTCTGCATATATTTTCAGGTGAAACGAGTGGAGGAGATTTGGTTGTTAGAAACGAAAGATCTTCAAAGACTGCGCTTGTAAGGCCATGAAGACCGGGCACTGCAAAGCAGTGTGGAGAATTAACAAGCCGGATTTGATTTTAAAGAAAATTGTGTAAAGAAGAATAACTTTACTATAAAGTTATCAGAAAATTATTTTGAACTATAACTTTACTATTTAGTAATCAGAAAGAAATTTTGAACCAATTGTACCATATACCTTGAATATCTCGTGTATATTAAAAAAAATACTGTTCAGTGTTAAAAAGATAAGTTTTACACTGTATAATTCTGTTACCAGTGAAGTAGACTTGTATAAATAAAAATATAGATCTGAATTAACAGACGCTTCTATATCAATATAACTCCCATGTCCCCTTGAGATATATTGTTCTTTGATTGTTAGAGTAGTCAACGTCATTCAAGCGCTTGTATGAATATCTAATGTTATGAAACATTCACAAAGTGTTGTTTTCATTCTACTTTCGTCAGATTCAGACCCTCTAAAAAAGCTTTTTCGCTCCATTGATTTTCTCGCAGTTTTGACGTGATGACAACGATATGTGATTATTCTTTTTGATTCGTAAAATTTTTAATATTCATATATTCCCCTAAGGAAGACGTTTAGATGATATAAATTATATGGTTGAGTAGTGCCATGACAAGGTTGTCCATTGAAACAGATTCTAGGGGTCTCGTAAATCTATCAGAATCAACGTTTGATGTTGCCGATAGGAAGTCAACAACGAATTCTATTTTAAAAGCAAAATATAGAAAAAAAACATGACTGATCAAATATGGCGATAATAAGTGACTTTGCAAATTTTAACCGTAATGCGAGAATCGACAAAGTCATTACTGAATAAGATTTTCTAAACTTCGAAATTTAAGTAAAACAGAATAGAAGTAGAATATGTAGGGTAAATGGAAGTAGTTTTGCATTTTAAATGTGATGCAATTTTGATATCTTTCCAAAATAAGTCTTACTTTAAGTAATTTCTCATTAGACCAAGAATATGCCAGAACTGATGAATGCAATATTTATAATATTATCTGAAACAATGGCATATCCGAAAATCGCAACACATTTTATTTTCGTCGAAAAAACATCTCCTCGAAAATAAACGAAATTATATCCTTTTTTTTTAAATCTGTGTATCATTGTTTAACACTGCGTGCACGGTGAAAGATCAACATTAGAACCCATTGTTTTAGTTGTTGAAGAAAGATATAAAAAAATAATAATGTGAAGAAGAGAATGGTAAAAAAATTGCATGAAATCAAGGGAGGTAAATGCGTTATGTCTAAATGCACTTTTTCACGTGATGATTAATGTGCAAAAATGAAAAAAAGAAAAGATAAAAGTCGAAAAAAAAACCAACAAAGGTTGTTGATCTAGGCTTAAACAAAATGTAAACCTTCTGTGCGACTTTATTTCTGTGTGTTTTTTTTTAAACAATTTCTTTCCCCATTTTACCATCTTGAATTAAAAAAAAATGTACGAAATTTAAAAGAGCAACTATCGGGAAAAAATTATCGTGGAAAAAGGGAAAAAAGAAAGCTTATAGGTGTGGTAAATGATATGTTTTTTATTAACCCACATGGCGATGAAGACAAATGTATTTTTTCTCAAGTTTATGAATACCAGCTTTGTACATACAAACTTGAGTTTGTAATGAATGAGTTTTTTTATTGTAACACCGGTTTTTGAAAATTAGGTTGTAAAGTAAACACCTGGTCAAAGTGCTTTATTACCATTTAATCATGTTTGAAGGAACGATGATACCTTCATAGGACACTAGAGCCGGCATGTTTGTTGTAAAGAACATTATGGTTTTGTAGATTAAAATCTGATATATATTTATTCAACTATTTATTTTTTTGCTTTGATGTCCATTTGATGAAATGTTTATAATTATTTTGACGCAACTAAATTGTCAAATATTAACTTATGAGGGAATTTGAAATACGCAAAATTTATTACAATTAGAGTTAAATACATTTATTATGATGTCATGAATTTGTTAATTTTTATATGACGTTACAATGCCTTATCAAGATCTAACGATCGTAAAATATGGTTAATAGTAAAAATGGGTTAAAGAGGGTTTTTCTTTCCTTTATTTAAAATGACCTTAGAGGGAATTACGGAAGAGAAGATGATGAGAATAAAAGAGAACATACTAATCAAAGGAATGCGGGATTCAAAATTTGCACATTGAATTATATGGAATGGTGATAATATATGGGCATAAGATAATAGATGTATTTTGTGTGTGTCTAAATGTACTTAATTTACTTTTTTTAACAATAACATATTTTTTGGTACCAGTATCTTATTTCTTAATAAACATTGGCTATTTTTATTTTCCATTCAATACCAAAATTAGCGTATCTGTGCTACGACACAGGACCCATACTTTAAAACGAGTTATCTGCCCTTTGATAAGATCAAAATCTTTATTTGTAATCCATAACTGCTTGAAAATTTTGATTTACGTATTCTCGCTTAAAGCGATTATTTTAAATAACGAAAACGTTTCTTAATTTAGAAGGCAATTAACAAGCAGCCAGTTTAGAGGGTACGCTACAAATCATGATTTTTCGGGGGATAGGTTTCGTTGATGAAAAATTAAACAAAAAAGTATTCCTCAATCATTTTCAATGACTTGCATCTGTGAAGCTGTGATCTTGGAATCGTTCTTGATGTAACACGTATATCTGCGAGGTAATAAAATAATTTTTACTACCACAAAATGGGCTATAAGAATCATCGTATCAAAAAGGCGCATATTCAGTAGCCTATAAAATCACAATAAAACTTCAATGTAGTAGCAATTTATGAAATCTACGCGTATAGGACACTCGAAAATGCTATTAAAATATATGAAAATCGTTCATAAAAACGGCTTTAATCAGTAATTACCACAGATAAAGCGCACGGAATTTGTTTAAGGATTTCATATATGATTAAAGCATTAAAAGCTGTATTCTCTCAATAATTGAAAACCGACACCGTACAGTTCCAAGTAGGTTTGGTGATTTAATGAAAGACAACAATCGAGAACAACCATATGTCTAGAATTTATGTAATGTTTGTGCATTTAAATCACACGTGCAAATTAACGCCCAATTCTCAACCAGAAATTAGGTCATTAAGCACTTGGAACCCGAGCCAGAGTTTTTAACTAAGATCTAGGATTAAACACTAACATTCATTCATAGCACTTACTCGAAGTTATGGCATGAAAGGTCATTAAGTAACTTGGTGGAATGTCGTGAAAAACGTGCTATCCATACCAAGATAAATACAGTATTCCAATTAACTTATTCTAGCATTGTTGTTGATTTTGGAACACGAATAAATGTTGTTTCCTAAATCTCTTGAAACTTTAACGCACGTAAAATGCAGCACGTACATTGTATATATATTTTAGAATTTAATTGTGATTTTATTACCAATTCAAGGGTCATAACTATGATTTTACAACAAATTCAGGGGCTATAACTATGGTTTTACTACCAATTAAATTACTATAAGTAATAATAAAATAAATCTTTTTTTCCTAAGTATGTAAAATAACTATTCATCGGCTGTCATATGCCAATATTTACATAATAGTTGTCTTGAAGCAAACGTGTAAGAAATATATACATGTACTGAAAATGAATACTCTTCAGAGAAGAGGTTCTGCATAAGGCGTCTACCATCTTAAAGAAGGGGGGAAACGTAAAATACTATTAAATAAAAAACGTCATTAATTCCGTGTAAGTAATAAAAAATGAAGTTTTTAATATTACTTTGAAATGATCGTTTGCGTAATCGAACAATGGTAATCTAAATGACGCAACTTGACGTCAACAACGTCATTAACGTATCGGTATTCAACAAGGTCATTTTCGTGACGTCATAAAGTAAGGTACAGTTCTATATTAATTAAATTAGTATCGTTGCTGGAACAGGGCATCTAAATATAAAAGTTTTTGAGAAATGGAATTGTTATTATTTTTTGAGTGGTGCTTTAAAATTCTTATAATTTTATAGGAAAAAGAATAGCTTACATACGGTGTAATCTTTAGAATTTAATATTGTCGTACTAATGTCCTTTTTCCGATTGGCATTATTTATATAAAAAAATCCCTATGTCTTATTTTCTTTAGAAAGAGATCACTTAACACCTTGCTTTTTTCCGTGCCGTCTGCTCATGGTCTGTACTGTTCGCTATTCAGTCAGTACTTAATTTGAAATTTTCCCTAAAAATGAATGGTTTTGTCCAGATTACAAGATGGGCAAGTCCATTTTATATACTAAAGGTGGTAAGGGTTAAACTAGTTTACTCATATCTATAAGTAACACGTCATTTACATAATTCAAAGCATGTCTGATTTTTACATGGCTCGGAAAAAAGACAGACTATAGTTATGAAACTTTCTAAATTCCTATTCGTTCATGCACCAAAAAATCATACTACATGTTTGAATGTAAAGTAGTCCGTGATCGGTGAGAAGTTATTCGGTGCAAAGTAATTTATCGATGTATGTATTTGATATTCAACACAATCTGATATGTACAGCGTTATGAATGACAAGGCATATTAAAGTTAATTGTTGTGTTTGGCCAGATGTCCATTAACTCTGACCACAACAAGATGACCACCAAGAAATCGCCGACAGAAAAATCTATTTGATGTGGTTCTCGGTGTCCTATGACCTTGACCAAATGGTTATTAAGTGCATTTTGAATATTAAAGAAAGAGCGTTAAGAAAAATGTATATTTGTTTCTTCGTGTAATATTTTAACAAGTAATTGTATTCTAAAAACGACGATTCCGAAGATAAGGAGCATTATCGACCTGCAAGAGATACAACGATGAGCACGAGCAGGCGTGCACGTGTAAAATAGTACTTGCGTTATGGTGTTGGAGCAAATTCAAAGCTAACAAATTGTTTAGTGGAAACACACTGGTTGCTCATTTACCATTATATAGCAATACTTTGACAGAGGCTGAGCAAATTTGGGTACATCTGCGCACGTGCAGAAGCCTACTATACACAAATAATAATAAAAATATATAAAGCATCTATAGATAAAAAAAAATACACTTATACAAAAAACAGAACAGTCATGGTTTTTGTAATTAATTTTAAATGAAATAATGTTATAATATTTTAGTTATTTTACCGCCCATTTAATAACGCAAAGCAAAAACATCCGCAGAGGATACGATATAAAATATCGCACTTGATAAATGTATTTTGTCCAATGCGCTGGGCTTATCAGGTGATATCATCTCCATTTTGCGGTATTCCTTGGCCCGATTTTCACTCGCCAGGTGTGAATATTTCTAATGTGAATTTATACGCGTTATAACAAATGTATTTTTCATGTATATCGTAGATGAACGATTTAGATAAAAGGAA